AAAAAACAGGGGAAATTTTTCCTGACACATCTTTACTGTGCGATACAATTTATATTTAGATTCAAGCCAGAGGTAGTGTGCGGTAACCCCATATTGTCTTCACATAGATAGTCTGTTGTGTCTAGATAGTCACGTCGATACACTTGCGTCTGTGCCAGCGTGATTCCGGAGCAGTTAGCAACATTGCGGAAAGCTGCAGCTTTTAAGAATTTTTAACCAATTTTACTTTGACCAGCTTACCTATGAACACAAAAAGTCTAAGAGATTACTAACAGAACGAGAGGAAATCCAAACGAATGCGTACCAACAATAACCAGCAATTAATACCGACTACTGTTATTTCGTTGTCACACGTAATACCATGAGCGCTTTGACAAACTCCGGTAAGTTCACGAGACAAGTGCTCCTGAGGGAATGTTATTTCATACATTACTTCATGACCCGCAATGTAAAGATGCTACAAAATCATTAACCTACGAGGAACAACGAAGGTAAACGTAATATACCAAAAAACTCAAAAGTTTTATTTTTTCAATATTGATTGCTTGTTTTGCATAATATGCTACCTTCCTGTCAGTACGAAGTACCAACACAGACACAGTGTGAGAACCAGCACAGATACCAACACAAAACTACCGTAAATGAGACAACTTAGCTCTTACTTCTTTTTGCTTCAGAATTTGTAGCATTGAAGTGCGTGTAATAGCAGATTATACCTTTCTTGTCAGCTCTCATCATCAAATTTTGACAATTTTCTAGATGTTTAATATCTAATTAAATCGCATAGTATCTATACTTTTGCCTAGTGCATTAGAAAGATTTGTTGGAATAACACATAAAATGTATTTTTGAAACTCACAGTAGAAAACGCTGAACTCAATACATAACTCATTCATTCAATTAAACGTAAGTCTATCAAATTCAATGAGTCTTAAGTACACGTTAACATTCACCTGAGAGAGTGAAATAATTAATATGAAGCAGATCTCAAACGTTATTGATTTCTTACTCAAACATTTCAGATATCCGTGACTCCTATGAAAATTCCAAGAAAAGATGGGAAGCATTAACCAAATTGAGTGCACAACTGCGAACTTTTCTCTGAATGACCCTGTGGATCTCCTGGTCTCCGGGTCAACCCCTCCACCTAAATCAGATCAATCGGTCAACGTGGCCATCCGATTCGCGGAAGAACGCAGAGTTCAGCACGCGCAACACATCACGCGGCGGCGCGTGAGACATAAATCAAACGATGACGTCACACGCGAGGGCGAATACAGCGGAGGCGGAGGCGTTGGAGCAGGCTGGGTGGTGGGCGAGAGGAAAGGAGGTGCAGGAAGTCTGCGCCATGGCACAAACGGCGAACGTGACGACGGCGACGGCGGCGATGGAAGAGGGGAGGATTAGTCGCAGTTCCCGAGTAGACGGAGAGAATGGTGCAGACACAGTAAAACTTCTTTCATTGAATGCTTCCGGAAAT